TATTCGACATTTCTTCTTTCGGCTTCCATCATTTTTCATATGGACGCTCTATTGGAATTTTGTACATTTAAATGGACTTTTTAGACCTGAATTCAGTGATGTGTTAGTTGGCCGTGAATTACTTTTGGATAAAAGTTATAAGTAATTAAAAAGTTATGGTGAGACATGACACAAAATAAAAATTTTATTGATGGTAATAATAATAATCATAAATAAGCAAAGGTAAATCCTATAAGATGTTCAAAATGTTGCCCGTTATTTTATAGGCAAAGCCTGCTGTAGATTGTTCACTGCCCAAATTGTTTCATTTCTTATCAGTCTTACAAAACTCTGTTGCTTTGTTCAATTTATTTGAGGTCTGGACTGGTATATGAAACAAATGAAATCTGATAATTTCGAGGCCTACCTAGGAACTTCTGTTTTTCTGGAATAACTAATGTTTAACAATGTAAATGTGTGACATATTATACATTTTTGAAATTAAAAACTCTATTCAACTGCGCAAAAATCCAATATGATGTCCATAAGAAAAAATACAGCATCTGTTCAAAAATGATCACTGGATTTCGTGAGTTATTAATTGATGAGATTATAATAAATAATTGTTGCTAACAAATTCCTCATAATTTTTAATAATAACCCAGGACATCCAATGATTATTTTTGAACAGATGCTGGGATATTAGACAAGATAAAAATGATCCATTCACGAGAGAAGTTTTCCAAGTCGATTTTTTGTCATAATCAAGTTTTTTGAATGCCACAATATAAATAAAGTGGTAGCCAGTCGGTAGCACGGAACTTTCTTCAGACAATTTGTTCAAATGGATCACCGAAAACTGTTTTTTTTCACCCCGGACAAATTTTTACAGGTTTTTCGGATCATTCTGAACAAAAAAGGTTCTTCATCAGTCTTTTTCAGACTTGACATTTTCCGGTTTATAACCGGTATAGTTTCTGAAAAACATTGAAATGGGCATACTCAGTGCCTAAAAAGTCGGTCAAGAATTATTTTTGCTGTTATCAAGTATATAAATTGAAGCTAAACCCTTTACCTACAAGAACCCTAAGGGCATTTTGGAATTAGTTTATTTTAAAGCGATTTTTAACTTAGTTTGGTAGACCAAGACTGGCGAATTTTTTATTTTCACAGATTGTAAAACAAGGTTCCAATGCCATCGGGTACCTTGGTCCGATGGACCTTATCGAAAAAACTTAAGCGTTTTCAAATATTACTATTAATGTTGTCAAAAAAAATGGAAATAAGGTAGCAGAAAGTGACATTTATCACCAGAGTTGACCACTGCGAAAGTAAAAGCAACTGGTTGTCTTTTGAAACGGTAACATTGTCAGCAGAGTCATCACTGTGGTTGGTAGATGCCGCCGATTCTAGTGCTATAGTAGATACGGTCTACTCGCCATCGAACAGACTAGTAATATAGTTTTCTTTTGTTAGCTAATTCTGGAGAGGGGATTACTAGCTCAGCTTTCGTTCGTTGTCCTACATGAGAACAAGCCTAGACCATGCCGAGGAGTTGCCAAATAGCACGGAACAGTTGTCCATATTTAACCGTTTGTGTCTGATGAACGAAAGCTATGTTACTAGTTGAAAAATAGACTAGGACTCACATAGATTGTTATGAAGTTATATTCGAGATCACTGCACATCTGTATCAATTGTTGAATAAATCTAGAAATCGTGACGATTATGACAACTAATAGATGCGGCTTCTGATACGCCACTGATTGATACGTCTTGTCCAACATATGAGTAAGCATCAACAATACCCATTGTTAGAAATCAGATCGTTATCTGCTTATAATAACAGGTCTTCATTATCAAATCAGATACACTGAATTCCTAATTGATGCGTTGAACACGTTCTGAAAAGGGGCAGGACATTTTTATGATCGAGAAAGCTTCATAGGTCGAAAAATAACAGTGCAAAATATAGGCATCATGAGTTCTCGTATGAGAAAAGGATGAGAGCGTAACTGTATCCGGTATAAGAGCTCACATTAGCTGCTTCTTTATCAGTCTGAACAAAGGACATACCCACGCCTTAACAAAAATAAATTCAATCAATAAGGAGGAAATATTCCTTAGAACGCAAATCCTACATGACAGGAGTGGAGTTAAATCCCTGTAGCCACCCTGTAAAGTGATTCGAGAACCCAGAGTGCACTTCAGGTACAAAGGCATTAGAAACAATAAGGCAATAATGGCTGCGTTTTAGAGAAAACAAAACGAAAACAACAGTTTGATTTACACTTCACGAGACAGGTAATGGGGAATAGATTTCTTTGTGATGGCTGAAGCAGATTCTGAATTCTTTTTGATACTGTATTGTGGCTAAGGTTAAAGTACATACGCTATGTGCTTGATTAAAGACCACTTTCAGTCGCCTGGAGACTGCTGTACGACTTCAAAGAAAGTTTACCTTTTATTTTATGAAATGACACGTACAGACAACAATGTGGATGGATAAAATGACAAGTGTTCAGTCTACCATTCATTTTATCCACGATACCAGCTTAAGAATGCAGTACGATGGTTAAGTTTAGGGTGTATCTTGCAAAAAAATTGATTTCTAACGCTGGCTTCCGTCTCGAAACGGGACAAATCGTAAGGACGGATTTGGATTCAGACATGTTATCCTCCGTTATTTTTCTCAAATTGTTCTATATTCGTGGATAATTTGGAGAGAATAAGATTAGTAAGGCTTCTCCTCTGACGTGTGAAAAGTATACGAACACCCCGAAAACTTGGCAACCACGCATACTATTTTGTTAAAAAGGTTCTAAGAAAGATTTTAGCATATCTGAAAAGAACACCCTTTTTCCAAAAAGGCACGTCAAGTTTTCGGTGTTTTTGTATACTTTTCGGACGTTACAGCCAGGTCCTGCTGATTGAACCACTTATGACTGCTGGACGTCATACCTCATGTATAAGAACGCACTCTGATGTAGAATCTCGTGGTCGACACGAATCTGGTATCAAAAATTTGGTTACTAAAATTTACAAACATGAGCCCCCGATGACGTCTTTTCTCAAACTCCAGCCACCGCAAAGGCCTAAGATCCAAACACCCACGGACAAAGAATGAGAAAGTAAAAATCGCTGAAGCTTCGTTGTAGACGGTTTAGGGAACCCAGGTCATTTTTTGGTGATTTTTTTGGAGGGTTTTTGATACTAGCAGGAGAAGTTCTATTATCAAGACGGCTCTAGCAATTCTACGCACCTGTTGTATGCAACACTTTATCTATATTTTCCGTACACTTTCCCTTGGAATAGATATATAAATTTATTTTCAATAAACTGAGCTTGTACATCGTAAAAAAACATACCTCCTGGTAAAATGTTGACTACGCTACTTGAGTTATTTGAGCTTTTTGAACAGACTTATACAATTCTATTTTTCTGAAACCTCTTCTGAGAGAATATTTCACTCTTGATACTTTAAAAGCGAGGATTCTCTACGATCGGCTGATTTGTACTGTTTTTGTTATAGTAAGTAATCATTAGAATTTTATCATTTCTACCGAGTAGGTTGATACCGAATGCAAATGATTATATGGATGTATTGAGCTTTAATCCGTTTGACGTTAGATTTGAGAATATATTAATCATGGCGAGCGAAAAAAGAATGTTGCATTCGGTACACTTCCTTCTGACTTCGTAGTAACATTTTATAGCTGGCTTAAATTTTGTCCACTCCATTCTGAGCAGCGTTCTTAGTCACCGAAGTTTTACGCTTATGTATGTCCCTCTAGCATGGGTGGTTATACAGCAACGTTATACATCTTTCTGATTTTATGGTGTCTAATATATTTTCAGTCATTTAAGTGCCAACATTAACATGACGATTATTGCAATGTACCACGTCTTTATCGTCTTTATATGTTTTGAATGGCTGCATATTTTCATCACATGCAATTAAGTTTTTTGTAACAAATTTAAGGGTAATATATTACGGAAGGCAATCCATAAAGCAGAACGAGGGAGCTCTCACAAGTTTGTTCTTGTTGGATCGGGCACGGTAGCAGCTATACCTTAATTGAAGTTAACAAAGGGCCGCATCGTCAGTCGTTCCTACAATTGTATGACGCCTTTATAGCCTCCTTGATTTTCATAGTCTTTCCTCTTCTTCAGAAGACTTGCAATATTCCTAGATTGCTACTGTTCTGTGTCAGCGTCAGCGCTCTCCTATTGACAGCCTATGTTTTCTTATTTGAAGGCCCAAAATATCCAGTTTAGTCAAGAAAAAACATCTGATGCGTTTCCATGCGGTACTTGACTATACGGGGAAAATTGAGAGGCTGTGACTATTGTTCTCTTCCGGTTTAAATTACATTCCCTGGCCACGGCTGACGTGTCACTGATGCTTATTTCTTCAATATCAAGCAGTAGTAGTGGTCGGGAGGTGAAGCGGGGCAGCTAGCCGCCTTTGGTCCTTTTTGCCGACTCCACATATAGCAACACTATACTCAACATGCTTTTGATACAAAAAATCAATCAGATTACTGAATCAACCAGATCCAGCGTTGTAATGTAACTATTTTATCTTGTACCAATTCGATTCAGAACGTTATGTATGGTGGTAAGAGTATCTATATTAGAGTTCTTTATTAATATAAAACCTTAAACTAAGGCAAATTTGCTTGATGGTATTGTCTATCACTATACTCTTGACTGACATCTCAAGGAGCAAAAAGGCTCCTGTTGATAATATCAAAATATATTGTAATCAGCTAAATACTACCTAGGTGAATAGTCAACCTAGCTTCTTCACAAACATTGGTATTGTTACCTATATTTTTTTATGTTTTCTGGCCGTTGAATGAAGCCAGATAGGCTGAGTTTTAGTGTGAGCTCGGTAGATAACTCCGTTATTGGTATGGTACCTAATAGAGTTAATTACAAAAACTGTATCCGGCAATATGTCCTTGAATAAAATATATTTGTATTTCCACATTACTACATACATTTTTTTGGAACGTGTTCTACAATGGTGTTCTTGACTAGGGAGGAGAGATATACACTTGAAGGACCCTTAGCATATGGAATCAAAGGAATTACCATATGGATGGAAGAAAATGGATTGAAATTGGCTCCTGAGAAGACGGAAGTAGTTATGACTTCTGGCAGACAGAAGCTAACTTCATTAGCTGTTGGAGTCGATAATTCCGATATTCTAAGCCAAAATGCAATTAAGTCTCTGGGTGTGGCTTGACCAATATCTGAAAATGATTGAACATATAAGGCGCACCGCTGACGGAGGCCCCAGTAGTGCCGGATTTCAAAATAACTTGCACATTAACACTGCTACTTTTTCTTCGCTACAAGATGGCATAGTTAGAATTTCAATATGACGTTTCTTTTCTTGTCCTCCAGCATCAACTTTCTTTTTCTTATGAATTCCATATTGGACTTTCATATAGATGAATAAATTTTTTAATTCTGGTTCCAACAATGTATGATTCGTCATACATTGACATTGCCAAAACTTAGTTATTTTAAAAAAAGGAAAATTTCCTAGGTAGGCTTTCAAATTATTAGATTGAAAATCACACATACTTTTTCCTGACTTTATTTGAAATGGGATTTAAAAATAAATTGCATGTGTTGTTATTGTTACTTTTTCTCCTCTACAAGATGGAGGAGCCAAATTTTTAATTCGACATTTTCCCTTTCGACTTCCATCACCAACTTTGTTTTTTCATATGGACGCTATATTTGAATTTTGTACATTTAAATGGACTTTCCAGTGACGTAACTCCATGAATTTGTTGTTGGATTAAAGTTATAAAGAAGTAAAAAGGTGTGGTGAAACCTGAACACAACATGAACATTTTATTCATGGTAATAACCATAATAATCATAAATAGGAGGATGTTCAAAGCCTGTTTTTTTTCTGTACATTATTTACAGCTTGATTTATGTCCGTTCCTCTCAGCCTTCCAAATGCTGTTACTATGTTCAGCTTGAGGTTTGGTCTGGTATACGAAACAAATCAAATTTGATAATTATTTCAAGGCCTACCTAGGAAATTCGATTTTTTGGAATAAGGTTTGACAGTGTCACTGTAGGACATATACATTTCTGAAATCAGGATTAAATACTCTATTCATCTGCGAAAAAATCCAATATCGTGCTCGTGCTGGAGGAAAAGACACGAAACGTCATATTGGGATTCTAATTATGCCGTCTTGTAGATGAGAGAAAGTGACAACGTTAATGTGCAATTTGTTTTGAAATTCCACTACAATTAAGGTCAGGGAAAAATTAAAATGATTTTGGAACAATTAGGTTTTTTCCGTCTTTCTTCGGAAGTACTTGGGATTTCGAAATATTCTAAGCAGCATTTTGTCGATTACCTAAATGCACAACTCTACAGATCCTGAGCTCCCAATGGTGAGGGTCGAATTTGAAACACCCTGTATCGAGAGTTGCAACTTTTGAGAAATCGTTTATTTTTCATTCCTGACTACCCTGTATAAACTAACCAAAACACTCCAAAAGTAAGCAGATCAGGAGAAAATATGAGATCACCAAATTTTTGTGAAGGAAGATACAGCTCTCTATGAATAACAGTTGCGGACGTGTGAATTGTCAAACTTGAGTTTTTTTTTGATAGATTGCCCAATATCTAACCGTTTGAGAATAAAGCCCTATACTATGTTATATCATATTGCTTCGTTTGGAAGGGCCTATACGAATCTGCAGTAAAGTGTAGGTATTTCTATTCAGTATTATGTATGTTGACTACATGATCTGTGATTAACTTTTTTCGATACCATGCATAATGAAGGAGTTATCTACCGTCTCTACACTTCACGCTCACACTGTATGTAGGCTTGTGTTCATTTACATCTCGGCCACCTCGGTGGCCTTTATCATATCGAAAAAGTGACAACGACAATGTATTATGAGATATTTATTTTGTCTCCCAGGTGACTGTTCATTTGTGTTTGTTGCTACTAACACCCCATGTTCCAGCAACAACCTGAACGGTCTCGGAGTATGTCGAGATGGCGCGAAGTCATCGTTACATTTATTTCAAAATGGCACCGCGCAAGTCCAGCAAAGTCATTCTCACCCCTTAAGCAACCTCGAGAACGTAAAAACCTACCTGTGTTCCAAAACATTCAAAAGAACAGCTAACCTTATGTTCGCTCGTAGCTTATGAGAGACTTTGGGGAGGAAGTGACTACTTCACGCGATTCTAGGATATTCTGAGTATGCGTGGTGCCATTTTGAACTAATTGTGATGATGACATCGGCCGATCTCGATATGATGGAGGACTGTTTAGGCTATTGTTGCAGCACGCTGTATAGTACAGCGTCAAAAGCAAATGGACTCTCACCTGAGAGACAGTTAAATACAAGATAGACGGTTACTTAGGTGACCGAAATGTTAGTAAAAACTTAAGCCCGCAAATGTGATTTCATTTAACGGCCAGAAGACATATGGAGTTGTCAACATGAAAGCCGCTAGGGTAGGTTTCAGTTGTTACATTAACATAAGGAGTTCACTGCACTACTCGAGCAGTTACTTCGTCCACGTACAAGTCAAAGTTGACCGAAATACGTAACTACATTCTTGTGCAACTTCGTGAAGTTGCCGAGTCGCATGGTAAGCAACATAAATGACATTCAAGTGGTCGCTGCCGTAGTATTGTACAATTTATTCATTACTTTTAATCGTTGTCTTTCTTCTTATCTTGATGAACTCTTTCATTCAGGTCCCAAATAACTGGATTCGACTAAAGTGTTTAGAGGAACAAAAGAATACAATCTTCATTGCTATTTTGGCATCAAATCAGTCACATACGTGCATGCAGGATAACGTCTCAATACGAACTGACGTTAGCCGATCAGTGTAATGAAACATTTCCTATAGACCTTCCGAACACTTCAAGTCCTTCGACTCGGGCACAAGAACCAACTGGAATCTCCAGAGGCGATGCGAGGTTGCAGGAAGCGAGACGAAGTGTCTATCTACATTGTCTTATTCGCTTGTTTTTGTCGCGAATAATCTAGTGGAAGTTTGACAGTTCGAGTCAAGTCATCTTTCATAATCCAAGCTCTGACATAGAAAACAAGCATATATTCATTAATTTTTACTTGAGAAGTAGTAGTAGTGAATATCAGACAAGCGTCAACGGCGCTGCTATAATTTACACTTTAAAACTATACCTGCCCTATGGTGTGAATCAGCGATGAACTCGGTCGACCTGTCTCGCCGTGCGGCCTACAAACAAATCTCCGGCGACGACCATGACAATGTCCACATCCACGTCCACAGCAGCCGTAGCAGAAGTCATCGATAATTTCTCCAGCACATTTTTCGAATAGTACCATCATCGAGGCACCATCGATACCGACTTGGCACTCGCACCAAGAATTTTCATGTGGGCGCGAATCTACCGGTCCATCCATCGGTCGGTGGGACGGTTAATTATTATCTAAAAGCAGTCAGGTACCACCTTTCTCTCAGAACATCTACTTTTCAGAATGTTTCACAAGTTCTGCAAAAACCAGACGATTTATAAAGATACTCTCCTAATTAAGCAGCTACTTCTTAATTAACCCTGGCGGTTTGATTGCATTAGTTATAGAGTCATACCATTTATTGTATTAGGAGGAGGACTTGTTTAGAGGAGAACGCTGCAGTGAACACCTTCCGTTATCTTTTAGAAGTGACCCAATTATTATTTTTCAAAAAGTTGGGGTTAGCATAACCCCGCTATTTTTGTTATATTTCACTTTTTGTAACTTTATGATTATTCTCACTATTTTTTTCTTGACAATCATGATTATCAATTGACGAGTTACTTATGAAATTTTTATTTCATAAATAATATTCCTCAATCTTCTTCTTTAGAATAAAGCCATGGGAACACTTTACCCCTACTGAGCAGGGTCGTGGCAAATGCTTGTTTCGGAAGTTGTTGTATTCAGTATACAACTTCTTCCCGTTCAAGTGATTGTACAGGCGTTACGGAATACCTCAGTACCGATGCGGCGGTACAAGTCTTCCAACGGGCCACTTTAGGACTATTTAACATCACTAACATGCAAAAAGAAAGTGGTAGGCAGGGACCAGTTGACCGAGGCGGCTACACCCGCTAGCTCTCTCCAGGTTATCTTATAAATGACCGCATGTTTCGGCGCCTAAGCTACATAGTCGGTTATCTTCCACAACAAAGAAATTAATGATGATGGATCCCTCGAGTACTAAGAGTTCCGGACGTAAACTGACTTCACTGTCGGAATCTCCGGGTGGAGGGTGGACCTGGGTAACTCAGACCACGGTATTGTGGACTTTAGGTTTCGGTCAGATCCCGCTGTGGCAGCAGAAACTCGCCCAGGCCACAAAATTTGGCATTACGGACATACTAACTGGGAGGAGCTCAGAGCCTTCTTCTCCACCTTTCCTTGCGGAGATGTTTGTTTCGCTGACGCGGATGCGCCGGCTGTCTGTTCATCGATAACCGAAATTATCCACGTCGGGATTGAGGAATATATCCCTCAAATAGTGTAAGTGCCTAAACCAGGGTTCAATCGCTGGTTCAAAAAATCATGCGACACTGCTCGCCAGATCAAGGCACACATAGCCTTTTTGTAAAAATCCACTGTAGAGAACAGACAAGCCGACGTCGAGACCAGAAACAAATATAACGAAGCGGTTCGCAATGCCAAAGACCAGCACGATTTTATATCGTTAGGCACAGCACTGGAAACTTGCTCATGTCCAATCCATCCCTAAAAAAGGATCAAAGACCCACCTTTACAACAACAGGCCTATAGCCCTGTTGTCTGTTATAAGTAAGGAAATGGAGAGGTGCATAAATTGCGTGCTTCTGGACTACCACCTCGAACGTCACGGCTTTATTAGGGACAGACAGCTTGGTTTCCGGTATCAGCGATCCACAAAGGACCTATTAGCTTACGTTACTCAATTGTGAAGTAAACTCATCCAGTCTTATCGTGAGGCTCATGTCGTTGCTCTTGATATCATGAAAGCGCTCGATCAGCTGTGGCACGCTGCCCTCTTATGCAAACTTCCACGTTTTTTTATGTTACACTATTGACATTGATTTAAAATTCTGTGTTGCAAGGAACCCCCATTTCTTATACTTGAATAGTTTGGGGTCCTAGGATTAAGTTTTATAAATAATATTCTTGAAATCTTCGCGTCAGATATTTTTATACACACGACCATCCTTCGACTGAAATTCAGCAGTAGCCTTTGGCACAACTGTCGCATAATTCCACCAATAAAGTGAGAAATGTCTTATTTGAGGTCACTAGCCGTCGACTATTTGAATAGACTCAATCTATGAAGAATCTGCACTACAAATATCAAGAATAATTAGATTAATGTAGCATCTGAAACCTTTCCTGTTGTTTTTATGCTGAAGGAACTTCAAGATTTTATGGCCAAGTGAAACCACATATCTACAAATTGCGTTACCTTTACTTTACCTTTCGGCCGCCATGGTGGTCTGTTTGATCAGTCACATTGACAATATATTTTATATTTATTTGTATTCCAAGTGACAGTTTACTTGTTTCTTTCTTCGCTTCTATACAGTGTGTTGCGACAATAGCTTGAACTCTCCTATACCACACCGAGATGTCGCGAAGCAATCATTACAACTTTAAGACATTGTTGTTTTGAATGTACAAGACACGTTACCGACGCTACTAATAACATACCGTCATGAAATCATCAACTACTAATGCTGCAACTGCATTGTTAATAGTTCCGAAATGCGAGAAATAGTACACCTCAAGGGCGACACCACGTCGTTCGTCTTTTGAGAAAATAATGTAAGACACAAACAACTGTTTGGCATTAAGGTGGCGAACCAAAACGTCTGTGTATTTGGGATCCTATAGTCAGCCATAAGGAAAAACCAGGAAGTAAGAAGCACATGACTCAATTGAAGAATATCAATTAGATCTTTTCTTCGAGAATACTCAACCAAATTGGGTTGCACCCTACAGCGAAACTAGGAAGACAATTGTTATTTAATTTCACTGATATGTACCCACTTTGACAAAGGACGTGTCCAAAACGACAGAAAAAATTAATATATGAAAACACATTGCTAATGTGCATATTGTGTAGCTGGGCTCACGAGAAGTTTATATTTGTCGTCTTTTTTTTGTTATTCCAGCTTTATTAAAACCTGTCTTCAAAGAAGTATAGACATTCAGTGATACAAGTGAAGTTAACATGGAAGCGCTGTATCCAGTGATACATTCTCATGGTATTAGCTACGATAGGGTTATGTCCTAAATAGAATGCCAAAGAGTATCGTAATTCAGTGTACTCTCGTGCACTTTCCTCCGAATAGCATGCTAGTCAGCGTCATCCAACGATCTTATGATACTTTTGCGATTTTTACCCGTCATTGGCTTGGAAAAGGCATGCTTTTTCTTATGTTCGTTCAAAACATTGTACACTGTCGCTTGGCATACCCCAATTTTATCTGCCATTTTCAGAGCTATTTTCGGGTTAGTTGATGTTTCGTCTTCCTTCCGCTCTATCTTGAATGTATTCAATATGACGTCTTTCATTTCTACGCTAAGATGTCTTTTTATGATCGCTTTCTAGGAGAGCTAAGGGAGTAGCCTACAGCCTCGTCAGCAGTATCTGTACTGGACATGTTCAGGATTGGTTCAAAACAAATAATAACGAGGAATAACAATAACAAACAGAAACTTAACAAATTACTCAAATACACTTAACAACAACAACAGCAACAACCAAGCAAGGTGAATACGAAAACACGAGCACGCAGTGATACACGCGACGGTCGTTGGCCTGAATGCAACTCTGCCTGCCCTGCCCCTGCCCCGCGCAATATTCCGCCAGGCGACCGCTTGAAATTTAATGGCGAATTGACCAATAAGAGGCGTTGTCCCCACCTGTTACCGAAAGATCACGCTCTAACTGTTATTATTTACATCTCATCTTGAATTTGGATTCAGTTTAGTCCATTGTTGTTCTAAGCTGCATAGGTTCTTAGGAATTTACCTATTAACTCTTATTTTTGCTCGATCTGTTTCTATTAAAAGGAGTTGAAGTTTCAAGGGCTATTCACACATTTCAGTTGTTTTCCTTAGTAGGTATGTTTAGGTCATGGTTCATATTGGTCATAAAAAATGAGAGAGTGAAATTTCCGAATACCTTTTCTCAATTACTGCCGTTATAAGACTATCCATAATTGAATTCCTGAAAATCTAGACCAAACATGTGCAATGTAGAAATTATGACCCAAGTCTTTGAAAAATCTTTCATATTTTACTAGTTGCTATCAGCGTCTTTATACGCTTAAAATTGCTGAAACCACGTGTGGTTTCATTTAGCGGCCAGACAGAGGATAATCAGCATGAAAACCAAAAGATAAGTTTCAGGTGTTACATATTAGATTAAACCAAATTTTATTGTTATTAGAAATACCTCCCTGCCTCGTCGCTAGTTAGAAAAACTAAATATATACAGCCCGTAAACAAATTTCCTGCCATGTCACAAAATCCATTCTCATTTCTACTTTATGCATATAGTATTGCTAAGATATCTACTCGTGTATACCCTTTAACCCCTGTCACAAAATTCGTTCTTAACTCACATTTATTGCATATAAACTATCTTTCTTCCAGATTATTTCCCATAGACAAACAAAGGATCTTCTTATCGACATATAAATTCCTCTATCTGGCCCTGTCGGAAAATCCATTCTTATCCATAAGGTACCTTATTGCCAAATTACATATTTATAAGTCAAAAAGCTTTCGAGGTTTATTGACTAACGGATATGGACATTTTCGGTTTTATATGTGTATCTGGCCTAAGAGCTCCCACTTAATCCCGACCTGTCCCAAAGTTCATCCTTAGCTAGGATGCCCTTCAATAAAGTACCCTTTCCTGCCAACTTGATTAACACTTTTGTATATACCTGTCCTTAGGTCCCCTTAATCCAGCTGTGTAGCGAAATCTGTTCTGAGCTGACATGTCCTGTCTAAGTACTTTCTGCTAAATTTCGTGTTCATATGTCAACTAGCTTTCGAGGAAAATTTCTATAAGTTCAAGCCTGAGGAGTGAAAACTCCAAAATTTCTTTATATGCAAAGTTCATATTTGTATCTCGAACTTAAATAATATTAGTAGCTTTTATGTCCTATTTCTACCCCTTTATTTTCTCATCAAAAGGTAGCCTATCTAATCTATATCTATACTAGAATACCCTGTTTATATATCATATCGGCCCAACCAGCGACTGAGCGCTTTTATGCCAGACACCTTATGCCATTTTTGATTTCAATAAGCCGGGAAATAGATATACTGAGTGACAAAAAAGGTAAATACCTACGTATATATGATTTTAATAACTTTTGGCATATATGTTCAGTGTCCCTTACTAGTAAAATTATTAAATTTTCAGCTTATTTCGTCAACTGACTAAAGAAGCTGGTTCAATAATGTGTTGAGGATCCACGATTTCGTATACACTCATTGACATGCCTGGGCATCGTGCTGATAAGGTGGTCGATATCATGTTGGGGTATCTCATTCCAGGCTAATGCAACTTCGTGAGCAAGAGCTGCTTAAGTCTGAGGAGGGTGTTGCCTTTTCAAGAGCCTGCGACCAATGATGTCCCAGACATGTTCAATTGGGGATAGGTCAGGCGATCGAGGTGGCTAAGATAAACAGCTGATGCGATGTTGATCCATGAAGCCTAACGATGCTCTGGCAACATGCGGTCTTGCAATGTCTTGCTTTTGGGTGGTGTTTGGATATGGAATAAGATGAGGCTCCACTACTTCCTGAATTATAGCGTTGGGCTGTCATATTGCATCTGATGAAAATTAGTGGTGACCTGCTACCGTTACTCCCTCGGGGTGGTGAACGTGACACTTTCTGTCAAATTGTGGGTCACGTCTTTCACCATGTCACCTTCTCACTCTTCCAATGATCGTGCATCCCCATCTCAAAGTCACTTAGCTGGGATACCCAACGAATCCTGCGCACTCTAGGCATTTTGAGCAATCACAAAAAGGCTTCTCGATAAGCTACACGAAGTTTAACATTCAATTAACACCGTAAGTGTACAAAAACTGAATGCTTCTTTATCCCCAACAATACACGCTGCCACCACAAAAACTTAACAGAAAAAGCTGACCATTTTATCACTTGTTGTTCATGGCAAGATAAATCGATATGTAAAAAATTCTTGAATTCTAATAAACATACGTAGGTGTTTACCTTTTTTGTCACTCAGTATATTTCGAAGCTGTTTACCGGAATAAAAGGTAGCCTGTGTGATATTCCAGTCATTTTGGCTTGATTGAGTCCACATTTTCTCATTTATATGATTAGTAGGGATTATAAAGAACCGCCAGTAATTGCCATGTTTCATACTTCTTGTCCTAAAAGATGTCTAGTATATAATGCATCTGACTGTCTCCCTGAACAACTCTGGGTGATATACCTCAAAGATGGAATCATTCCCCCCATGATCTTGAGCGTTGCAACACTCTGCAAATATTGACCGACCATGTTCACTATAATAACATTCCTATCAAAATTTTCATAATTAAATCACGGGTCTCTTTCGGAACATCAAACAAAAAATATGAATAATTTCATTTGTGATAAGATTAAGTGATTAAATTCCTGAGATTCCTCACAGATCCCCGAAAGCTCCAATATAAATATCAGACGTACATCACGTAACATGTTTTCCTTAATATTAAAACAATCGCATTCCAGATCTTGTCTTTAGAATAGCATGAACATTGCGTTATCTAATGATACCACTACACTTTTGGTTAAATGTCATTTATTCAGGAAGTTTCCATAAATATAATGTGTAATAACAATAGAAAATTCTTGGAATATTGCTGAGAAAGGTATTCTCAAGTTCATCGTACTGATACTATCTAAGACAGTTCGAAAATAAACAGAATAAAACCCAACGTAGCTTTGCTAGAAATAAAGGTAAAAAAGCAAGAAATAACGTTGTATACTATTGATTATGGTCTCAGAGACAGAAAGCAAACACGTCACATTCATAATGTATATATAGAACGGTGTCTTGAAGTATTAAACCACACTACCAATAATCTCAAGATATTTTTATTCAGCACGAAATCTCTACAGGTTTCTTTATTTCTAGCTCAACCGCTGGTCTGACACTTAGGATGCCTGCATGTAAAGCGCATTCACTCGCTGCAGATTAAACTAGTCCTGCAGAAAATGAGGTCATCATAGTTTAATAAAAACAGAATCCAGCCACCAAACTGAACCGAACCCTGTGGAACATCCGCGTTAACTTAGTGGGATGAAGATGAACCCCCAAATACACACGAGGAAGCGAGTAAGATTCGAGAGTGAAAACACCGACCTGCTGGCTTCCAAACGTTCCAATGATACCGTACAGTGACACCAGACACTCTATTTACAAGTGACGACAATCCTTGAATGAATAGTTACAAGCACACAACG